TGTCCGTGCCAAAGTATTAATTGCACCCCTTCCACGACCATGGCCCCTGCTGAGCTCAGTTTAAATTAAATCAATTCCCACTGCAGCAATCGCGTGTGTTTATCAAATTATTTTTCCGGTTTTTCATTTTCTTTTTGTTCACTGAATACCTCCGAAATACAATTTTAGTCATCGCTGCAAATACACCACAGCCCGTTGATACGTCACTTATTAAATGACAATAAAAAATGAATTTTAAACGAATCTGAACGAAACAAAAAGTAAACATGTTTAAAACTGGATAGATTGTTGTGTCTTTTATTTAATCTGGAAAGTATAACGATGAAGTTAATAATTTTTTAAAGTATTAATATATTTTTTAAGCAATTTATTATTAATTTATTATTAAGATGTGTAAAAATTATAATTTTAATTAAAATAAAAGGTCAAAGTTGATGGGATGTATGAATAAAATTCAAATTGGAAAAAATTTAAAATTAATATTTATAAACAATATAAACTGACTTTTATTTAAAAAGTACCTATTTACTGGATACATTATACTGGTATACTTCATTATACATAGTACTACCTGTATACTCTGTGTTTTCTTTTTTCTTTTCGATGATTACAAAATATTAAAATGTTGGAAAATTTTTTTTTTATATATTTATACATCGCCGCTCTTAATGTTAGATTAAAATACTATGCGGATAAAAAATAGTTAATATATATTTATATAGTTTAATTTGTAATGAACATTTTCAGTCTCAGTTTCTGGAGGAATACAAATAATAATTTTAAAACATTGAATTATTATATAGACCCAATTTCTCTCAATAGTTATAGTTATTAAAGCACCGTGACGCATATCCTAGTTTTCCAGCCTGTCCAACGTGCAGGGCTAGACTGGGTAGACGTGATACCAGGAGTTTCCCGGCAGGCTGCTTGTACTCTTTGAGAAATTTTTTTTTATGTTTGTCGGTTTAGGCTCGTTGTGTCGACAGACATAGACGCATTTTTTAATGCGATTGCATTAGAAACTGTATACAATTAAATAAACAGTTTTTTAATTTTTAATAATAAGTGTTCAAATTCTCAAAATAATATACAATCATTTTATTTGAAAATATACGTTATTTTTAGAGTTGTTTTTATACCTTTGGTATATCTAAGTGGGCCTTTTTTTTAGTTTTCCGGTAGAAATTTCTGACCCAGCGCGGCCCCACCAATGTGCGTTTACGAATACCATGACTTGCATCCAGAGAGGCAATAATTCCATTTAATTTGGTAGGTGGTTGGGCAACTTGAAGTGTACACTGAGTATACGTATACTTGATGATAAATTTTCTGACATAAAAGGTTACATCAATTCAATTATATTACGTAATATATATTATGCCTGTGTAGCGATCAATTTTTTTTCATACGTGGATATTGAATACTTTTCTTTGCCCCCTTTCCCCATAACTCCTGCTAGTTTATGTCTCTACTTGCTTCAGATTGTTTAAATTGTGCTGTAACGCGAACGTGCAGTCATCTAAAATCTTGATCGCTTCATTGCTCATCCTACAGAAGAACCTGGAAAACAAGAAAACTGATTACGGTGGTCCGAAATTTCCCCTCCCCATCTTCCTACTGTGGATACACACACAGATTCATAGACTTCTAAAATTCCGATAGTTAACCCCTACCCCATCACCAAACATTTTATCTATACCTCACAACGGTAGCATCGTCGCATGTGCCCTGTATATACGAACATATTTGTATAAACATGTATATAAACGGAACCCTACTAGTCGTATATACCGCTGATGCTACTGACGTTGCATGCCGTGCTCTCCGTATAACCCGCGCGGAATGAACGGCTTTGAATTCTTCCCATAACTTAACCTCTGTTCCGTTTTAATAAAACCCTTCACCGCGCGTCACACCTACCGGAACCCCAACGGTATGTATACGTATATATAAATGTGTTATGTACTTTCCCGAGCGTGCGCCTCGGCAGTATATAGAAGTCATCGCATCATATTATATCTGCAACAGCCGCGTGTCGGCACCACGTATACATATATAGGTAGTATCTACCCTCGTCTCATTCACTATATAATAAAATGCTATCTCGTCGCCATCCCTTTCTTGGGCCGCAGCCCTCTAGCCCGTCCCCGTCAATCGTCTTCGGCCGCATTTCCCGTGAATCCCCGACCAACCATTATCCTCGAAACGCGTGTATTATGAACATGCGAAATTATTCCGTAAATGAAAAACACCCGAAAACGGAACAAGGCACAATATGCATCTCGGTTATTGAATACGCTTCTATATATGTATAGTCTTTGCTGTACGAAATTAAGTCTTCAACTTTCTTTATGCATATATTATTGTACATCTATACATATACGCTTTTATATTATAACGTGCCTCAAATGAGCCATAAAATATACTGCGCACGAATGTTCGTTACCTACCTACGTATTTTTTTCATTTTGTAGTTCATAATAATATTATTATATTGTAATATATAATATTATATTATAATATTGTTATTTAACACGTTCCTAATACGTAGAGGGATTGTATACTTACATGTTGTTAATTTAAACACAAAAGGTTTTCAAAAATTATATTGTTAGCCATAAATTGTAATATAATGTACAATATAACAATTATTAATAATATTAAAAACGTAAAAGATCGAATTTTTTAAAATATAATGATTTATGGTATCATAATGTCTGTGATGGGTATATTTATATAAGAAAATATCTATATATATTTTATTTATTTAAATGTCAATTTACAATCTGCAGTCAAATTTTTACAATAAGTAAATTTACATATTTAAATAGGGTTGTAATAACATGAGTAGCTTGTTGAGGAAGAGATCCATTGGTGACACCTCTTTTGTTAATTTAATAGATCCCTACATAATTAACGTTTTAATTTGCAAGGCGAGTTTTTCAGGAGGGTAATGCTGGACATGTCGTAGCCATATAGTCAAATCATACTGACTATAAGGTATATAATATACTCGTACTATCATCTACGTCTATCACATCTAATTAGTTATTACCTGTATATATTTATGATTTCATTTTTAAAACAATAGTAATAATGAACATGAAATTAAACATATTATTTCACATACCAACGTGTTTTACATATTAATAAATAATATATAGTACATTGCTTTTTTATGTATAAAATAGCAATAAATAATTGATAGAAAATATATTTAAATTTATAAAATAATACAAAATGTTTTTTTATTATTTGCCTGACGTGAAATAGGCATTTAATCATATTCCTTGTCATTAAATAAATGACTAGGCATTTAACTTTATTTGATTTGACTATATTCCTGATTAGACTATATGCCTACGACAGACATATGTGATATTAAAGTATTTTTATGCATGATTAAATTTTGGTGGAAATGTTTGTACATTGATTTGGTCGGTTTGGTGATACATATAAGAATATTTTAAAAATACCAAGTGTAAAAATTCGTTTAATATTTAAAACGTTTTACCTTGCAAATATTATACTATAGTATGTTTAAAAGTTAATATTTATCTCATTTATAATTAAATTGCATTATTAACAACGAAAGTAATTACCATTTATTCTAACTGCAACTTGTTAGTTTTAATATATGTAATATTACTATTTTTTTTTTTTAGTATTCTTACATAATACATTGAAAAAATAATGTAGTTTCTATGTTTCGTTATTGATTTCATAGAATGTACAGTGCTCGAATTGGGGAGGGGTTGCGCAGGGGGGCGGAGCTCCTCTACTATTTTTTTTTTTTTTTTTTTTTTTTTTAATACCCCAACTATATTTTTTCACTGGAACGGGGGATGTCACGTTTACCCTAATTAATTTCCAAAATATTTTTTATTAAAATATGGATTTCAATTTACGTAAATTTTATAACAAATATTACGATTTATAATATGAAAACTATTTTTAATATTCGTTTATCAACACGTGGAGCTCCGTTAATATTATCACTTATCAGTGCCTAGCCTGAGGTAGCCGAAATTACGTTCGGTCGACTAGTGACTACGCAGCATGGTTATAGATGGAACAATGCTATGCAGACACGCAGTACGCATCGACCTGGTGACTCGCACTCAGCAACATACAAAACATATAATTAGTTGAAAATTAATTCGAATGTGTGGTAAATATAATTTAGCCGACATCATTCTCAATCGTGTTGTCAAAAAGGTATAACGTTCTCTACGAAATTTGGTATTCAAAATATATGTAAGGTTTGTGAAGGGGGTTTTTTGGGGGGGGGGGGGGGGGGGGGGGGGGGGGGGGGGGGGGGG